GTTAAATAAATACATAAAAAATACATACAATTTTTTTGTAAAAAACTATTTTTTTTTATAATACGACTAAAATAAATTTTGTTTTATTTAAAAAAAAATTATGTAATAAAAATGTTTTTAATAATTTATTTATTATTTATGTATTAACGATTTTGTTATTATATAAGTTAGTTTTAGGAAGTTATAACCAAGTGAGCCTGCAACTCAAATGGTTAATGCCTTTTGTCATTTTAGGGGGTGAAGGTCTCAAGTTCGAGCCTTCCTCCCTCAATTAATTTTTTTTCCAAACAAATTTCAAAAATGGTCCTTGTGGTTTATCAAATGTCACGAATTTAGTCATTTTATATTTAAAAAGACTAAAGTGCCCTTACAGATTCAGTCCCTAACGGTTATATACTAACGGTGTTAGTAAAAATGGCCAACTTTGCAAGATTTGCAAACCACAAGGACCATTTGCATAAAAAAAATTAGTATGGACTAACTTTGTGACTTTTGGTAAACCACAGGGACCATTTTTGTAACTTTGTCTATTTTTTATACCAAGAAACTTAGGTGAGTATCAATTTGGGATAATGACTTGAAAGGGTAACGAACTTTCGACTTTTTTCACATTTAGTCACTAAACTTTTTTTCGTTATCTATTTGTCATTGAACTATTGAAACCGTTTATATTTTACCCTTATGACCGGCTGTTAGCGGTAATAAGGGTAAAATGTGATCAGTTTTAATAGTTTACTGGCAAATAGATAACGAAAAAAAGTTTAGTGACTAAATATGAACAAAATCGAAAGTTCATTTCCCTCTAAAAAGTTCAATGACTTAATGTGAATAACTCCCTCTTGTATTATGTTTTAGCAAATTATTTATTTTTGTTAAACTGTAACAACATTTGTTGATGAAGAAATCTATGAAATAAAAAAAAAAACCCTGAAAAAATATTTAAAAAAAAAAAACAAAAAACCGAAACCGAAATAAAAAACCAATGGTTTGACATTTTCCAAAATAAAAAATCAAAATTTCCAATCTGATTTTGGTTTTACAAAAAATTGAACCATTCTCACTGATGTGAATTATGACAATTGGTTTGGTATGCGGAATTTATGAAATTCCATGAATACGTACTTATAACATCGTCTGAACTCGTAATTCATAGTAAGAGGTTAGAGTATCATCGCATGAATACGTAGTTACAACATCGCCTGAACTCTTAATTCATCACCTACAGGTTATGGGCCTGCTGGTGTTTCCACTGGGTTGTCTAGAATAGTCCGTGGTCACCATCTATACTCTGGGAGATGACTATATCGCCACATTCCTGGTTAAGGTTAGGGTATCTCCTTTCATCCTACATCACCTATTCATCATCATCTATTTACCTAATTATCATCACCTATCTCTCATCATTTTATTTATCACACACCAACTATTTCATCTACCCATGTTTCATCTGCAACATATTTGTAGATATAAAATAAATATACCGTTTAAATCTTTTAAAACATGTATAAAATCGTTCATCTAGCATAGACAACAAGTATTCAAATAATATGCAACATAGCACGTAATTTATATAAAATACTTCATATCTATGTGTAAGATGAAAGTAACTATATATACCATAAAAATCCAGATGTTACATTTTGTTTTTTTATTTAATAGATTTATTCATCAACAAATGTTGCTACAATTAAACAAAAATAAATAATTTGCTAAAACATAATACAATAGGAAGTTTGTTCACATTTAGCCATTGAACTTTTTAGAGGGAAACGAACTTTCGATTTTGTTCACATTTAGTCACTAAACTTTTCTTCGTTATTTATTTGCCACTAAACTATTGAAACTGTTCACATTTTACCCTTATGATCGGCAACAGCCGGTCATAAGGGTAAAATGTGAACAATTTCAATAGTTCAATGACAAATAGATAACGAAAAAAAATTTAGTGACTAAATGTGAACAAACTCGAAAGTTCGTTACCCTTTTAAGTCATTATCCCTATTAATTTCACACACTACACTTTAGATGAATAAAATGAGTTTCCAAAGCCTATCGCGGCTTCCCTTATTTCCACTGATTAAGGGAGGGGCCTCAACGTAGGTAATGTCTTTTTTTTTTTTTTTTTTTTATTTTATTTTATTTATTTATTTATTTATTTATTTATTTTTTTATTTTTTTTTAAATTATCTATGACATACAATCATACATGATTTTGATATATCAAATTAAATATGTTAGGACGGTAGCACCAAAGGAAAAATATATGTTTGCTTTTTAGCAATGGTCTAATATTGAATAAGTAATTAAACACCAAAATAATACATTAACAAAGATAAGCTAAAATTTAATAAAAGAAAGAATGGAATTATGGAAGAAGTCAATAATATGATTAAATATGTGTACTTAACATATATATATATATATATATATATATATATATATATATATATATATATATATATATATATATATATATATATATATATATATATATAAACTTATACACTTTTGCTTCTGATCTTTTTTAAAACCGCATCGTTTCTTTTTTGAGACCGGTCTCAGAACAGTCCATTCTTTTTCTAGACCGGTCCGATTCGGTCTTAAATTGGTTCGGTCTCAATCTTTTTTTCAAAACCGGTGAGAAACCAATCTTTTGGCTAAAACCCTCAAAAGTTTTATCATAGAACTTGGAGCATTTTTTTCCAGTTAGACAGGAAGGAGTCGTTGCGGGTTGTACAACTGGGATAGGGCAGTATCGCTGGAAAACGTCACCATAAACAATATGCTTAGAGGTTTGGAGGCTTTATTCCATTCGAACGGGTTGGTGAACCTGTGAGTTAATTCACATAAAGTGATTTTGACAATTCACTAACATGCATGAAAAAGAAAAACATTAATTCTTCCCTCCTCCCTCCAGCCACCTTTATCTTTTTTGCATGTAATCTGTTTATTTATTTATTTTATTATGGTAATGATCAATCTTGCCACCTTTATCTTTTTTGCATGTAATCTGTTTATTTATTTATTTTATTATGGTAATGCTCAATCTTTACGTAACTTTTAATCCATTTTATCTAATAAATAGTTATTTAAATTATAAAAAAAATGACCACTCATAGCCAACCACATATCCACCACGTGTCTAGGATCACAGTTGTGAAAATGGATATAGCATCCAACATTTTCTTCAATCACTTGTCTATCTTTTTATATTTTTTCACTTTTTTGTATAAAGTTTGTCTTTATTGATCATTGATGAACCGGTTACAAGGGTTTATGAGTGAAAATAATCAAAAAAAGGCACTTTCCTTGTAACGGATGCTTCTCAGTTATCTTTTGTTTTGCATTCGACCATGGACTCAGTTTCCTCTACGGTGTATATATAAACGATGGTGTAATATACTCTGAATGGGTAATTTTCAGTGTGGGTTGGGTTGTATATCCTTTTGCCATAAGTCTTGCACTCTGACCTGTTTGTTGTTCCGTAAGTATAGGGTATGCAAGAACAATTACTCCAACATATTCTTTGGCAATCATATGAAGTCAAGTTATAGCTTTCATCATATTCATTTACGTCCCCATATATATATATATATATATATATATATATATATATATATATATATATATATATATATATATATATATATATATATATATATATATATATATATATATATATATATATATATATATACATCGCCAATTCTCCTCTCAAAGTCATAGCCTTTCCTACAACTTAACTCTTCAAACTCATATTCAGCACAAGCAACGACACTGGTATTGTACGTTGAGCTTGAGCGGCATTGGATGTAAACGGAAAGAGCTGAAGCCTTAAGCTGACCGCCTAAATGCATCCTTAGAGCTGGCGATGAATCGTATGTTTTTGTTAAATACATGAAGGATTGCTCGGTTTTGTTAGATATATAGTAGAGGCGGACATCAGGGCAAAAATTTTGTAGAGCAGTGTTTTGAAATCCACCATTCTTCCAAGATCCGCTCTTCCAGTGGATGTTCCTTCGCTTCAAGATCACCATTTGACCTGTGCCATTGAGGTCTACTGTGAACATAAAAGACCCATCGGCTAGAAGCTCGTAACTCCGCCAAGAAGTGAGTGACCATCGATGCCCAGTCTTGAGATTGATCCCGAGTTCATCCCAGGAAGAAGGGTGTCTTTTGGGTAATCAAAGCTTGGTGATAGGCGTAGCCCCCGGAACCAAATCGATGCTGAACTCAACCTGCCTCTTTGGAGGTACATCCGGTAACTCTTCCGGAAATACATCCGGGAACTCACGCACTATCGGAACCTCATCTACTGACCTCAGTCTCTCCGAATCAACTCTTGCATCCATCAAATATGCTACAAATCCCTTACAGCCCCGTTGTAGACTCTGCCTCGCTCTAGCGGCTAAACAAAATGCCGACCCAGAACGCGTACCCTCGCCGTACACTGTAAGAACTCCCCCACTAGGGTCTCGTATGGTCACCATCTGTCTCTTACAATCGATAACTGCTCCAAACATGCTCAACCAGTCCATGCCCACGATGACACAGACATATCCCACGCAATAGAAACCAGATCAATCGGAAACTCAACGCCGAAAATCTCGAGTACACACCCTCGGATCACCTCGGTGGCATACACCGCTCTCTCTTCAACTATGGAAACTCTTAGAGGTCGACTCAACGCCTCTCGAATAATACTGATGTGCTGACTAAAAGCCAAAGATACAAAAGACCGACTCGCACCCGAGTCAAATAACACCAAGGCAGGTACAGAATTCACAAGAAAAGTACCTACGCATATCATAATATAAGCACAATATCTCAACATAAAAGTAAATATATGTAGAATACATACTAGCCACGACGTCAGGTGCTGCATGGACCTCCTCCGCTGTCAGCTGGAACGCCCTCCCTCGCGCCTTTGGCGCCTCGGCTTTCACCGGCCAACTCTCACTAGCTCTCGCAGCAGCAGGGGCAGATCCCTGAGATGATTTCTATATCCCATCTGGATATAGTTCTTGCAATATGAAATTTCCATTATCCAACAGGGTACCACTTGCGTTGCGTGCTACTGGAGTAGGACTAACGAGATCAACTACACTGACTCCACTTGATAAAATGCACAGCTTGCCATAGACATCTATCATGAGCTTTCCATACATATCTGTGATAGGATTATTCCTGTTAGTTACCCAAACTGCCCTATCTTTCAGATCATATATATCATCAAATCCAGCACAACACCCAGTGCAACGAATGGTTTTTGGATTCTTGTTGTACAAGTCATCATATCTACCATAAATTTTGCTTCTTCGGGGGTTGTAGAATACCCCTAAATAAGGGCTTATGCTAGTGTCAAAGCTAAAGAACTTCAAAGTGAACACCTTGTTTGATGAAATCAAATAGTCCCAGTCCTTGAGCTCTTGACCTTGTTGTAAGGTATCTGTTTCTGAGTAACAAGGACGGATTAAAAGATACCAAGTTAAAGTGAGGAAGATGATGAGGAATATACTATTATCTGCCATTCTTTCAAGGAAGAAGTGGATCGACAAGATGTGATCTAGTTGAACACAGAAGTCCTAACATTAGTTGATTTAATCAGAGATATATCAAGGACATACGTTGACCACTCAGAGATATATCAAGGATAGACAAAATTACATAAATGATACTTATGGTTTAACAAATGTCACAACTTTAGTTATTATTAATTTTTTTTATGGATGTGATTTTTATGGTTTCTAAATCTTGTATGGTTGATCCATGTGGTTTCATATTATTTGCAAAATTGATCTAAAATTAATAGTATATCCTTTCTCAATTTCATTTTCCTTTTTTTTTTCTATAAAATTGTATTTAAAAAAAATAAAAAAATAAATAGACACACGCCCTACACCAGCCCACCTCAACCCTACCCTAATCTCATCACCACCCCCTACCACCTTCATCGTCTTCTTCTTCCTCATGTTTCTTTATCTAAGTGTCTAACAATTCCTCTCTTCAACAAATTAGTGATTAATGTCATTGAAATTAATCTCACCACCTTTGTCCTTCTTCCTCGTATATGAATATGCCCCATGCCATATTCATCATCTTCTCCACCTTGCACCTTCCATCATACTGTAACGCCTGGTTCCGATATGTACTTTAGTTTATAATTTATTCTAATTTATAGAACAACTCGACGAGTTGGGAGCCTCAAACTCGTCGAGTAGAGATTGTAAGGGTCGTGCATTTAAGTGACGTAATCGACAAGTTGAGAAGCCTCAACTCGACGAGTAGGCTAAGGGAAATGAAACCCTAATTTCTAGGGTTTTGTAACCTATTTAAAGGACATAAACTCCCATAACCAGCCCCTCACCAACCTCCCTAAACCCCAAATCATATTGTGAGCTCCTTGTTGGGAAACTAGAAGGTTTGAGTGGATTTTTGTGTGTTCTTGTGCTTAGCGAAGGACTTGAAAGAGCTTGAAGGTCATCGAGCTTGAGAAGAGGCACTAGATCTGGGATCTCACTCGTCTTTGGCAACCTTCTGAGGTATAAAGTCTCAAACATGGTGCTTAATAGCTTAGATCTTTCTTGGTTTTGTTTTATGGATCTTTTAGAGCCCATTTTTGGAACATGATAAACCCTCATAGTTGTGATGCTTAAAAAATCCATTCTCAGTGTTAATTGGTCCTAAGATTCATAAAAAGGGGGTCCTAAACCCGTTCATGCTCAAGAAAAGACCATGTCCATAGAAGTAGGTTACTATATCTCGAGTTTAGATCCATTTGAGGCATGCAAAGCCATCAAGTTGTCGACTTTACGAATGTATATAATGGAAAAAACGTACATCTATATTTTGGAACCTTAGATCTGAGGAAAAGGCTTAATAGATTAAGAATTATGAAGAACTCGACAAGTTTGTAAGAGAACTCGATGAGTTGGTTCGGTGGGTCTCGATTCTATGAAAAAGAGAAACTCGGTGAGTTAAAGGGGAACTCGATGAGTTGTATTGCGATTTCATGATCACTGTGATTCATGGGAACTCGGTGAGTTGAAAGGAAAACTTGACGAGTTGAGTCAACTCGGAGCATTAACTTTGACTTTAACTTTGACCACAGTTGACCCTAAAGGGTTATGAGCATGAAATGGTATCAAATGGGTTGTTTTGGTCCAAGGAGTGAGTAGAGCTAATTTCGGGCATAGACGTTTCAGTTATCAGTCGACATTTGAGGTGAGTTTCCACCTGGTTTGAACAAGTCGAAGGCACTAATTTCGGTCCGTGTATGTTATGTGTGTTGATTAGTAGCTAAGTGTGGGAAGGGCCCGTATCTTAGCATTATTTAAGTATGGATATGTAATGGATTGTGGTAGATTTGGTAATACTTTTTGTCTGAATGATACTTGTATGTGTTTCTTAGTTAACTGAGTGTGGGCGGGGCTCGAATCTCACTAGTAGTCGATTATGTGCAGGGCCCATATCTCTAGTTAGCCGAGTGTGGGCGGGGCCCGTATATCCTAGATAGCTGAGTGTGGGCGGGGCCCATATCTCATTAAGTCGGGGCAGGGCCCGTATTTCATAGGGTGGGGCCCGTTAGCCGAGTGTGGGCAATGCCCGTATCTCCTAGTTGCATGTTATGTGTATGGTATGTGGTAGTTTGGGGAGACTCACTAAGCTTCGTGTTTACAGTTTTCAGTTTTGGTTTCAGGTACTTCCGGTAGCAAAGAGAAGAGCTCGGGATGACTGCATTACACACACCATGATGTTTAGCCTGGGATGTTACTATAAAATGTTTTACATGTGTTTTGATATGGATATACCAATTATGATGTTTTGAGATACTATGGTTTCTGTTTTGATAAGATGATTTTAATAAATATGGTTTATTTAATGATTTAAAAATGAAATTTTTGGTCATGATTTTTGGGACATTGCAAGTTGATATCAGAGCCTTGGTTTGAGGGATTCGGACACACTCTCGGGTGTGTCTGAACTCAAACCGAGGACTTGATATGAAAATTTTCAAAACAAAAACATTTATATAAAAAGGATTTTGAAAAGAGAAAAGGGTGTTGTTCATGCAATCAGTCGAGCTCAAGTAAGTTCTCCTAAATTACCTATAGGTTTATGTTATGATATGAATTGTGAATATGTGAATTGCATGCTAGATTAGGGCTAAGCATCTAGGAAGGATGCCTTGTATGCTTACTGCATGAGCTTATTGAACTACATGCTAGTACTGATTAGTCAGTGATATGATGGCCTGATTAGGATATGCTTGGTTTTGTTTACTGAATGCTCAAATGCTACTTGCTTTGTGCTCTTAGGAGTTCTAGTTATCTTTAACTAACTAGTAAATGAATATGTTAAGTTACATATTATGAAGACTAAATAATTTCAGAAGGTTAGGTTTAGCCTTATTTCGCAGCTCTTGTTTGAGTCTAACCGTTGTAGGGAGAGACCTCTCATTTGAAGAATTATCCGGTCTTACTAATATGTAATGGTATTCGCGAGCTAGTTAGGGAAAGGTAGCATGAACTTATACAACTGATGGCGGAGAGTGGGTCGGAAATTACCCTAGGGAAAGCCTAGGATGAGATTCAATAATCTCATTATCTCACTTTCATAGGCTTTCAAAACATTGTACAAATCAGCAAAAGAATAACTGTTGAAACTCTGTTAAGTTTTAATCATCAACATTATGTTCTTCCTTTCTTTTTGCAATCCCATCAAGAAAGTAAAATTATACTCCAGAGTCGAATGAGTCACCATAATGAGTACACTTGAAGATCAACTCGTTCTAGTGATCATAGTATAACTTGATGGTTTTGTTGCCTTTCGGCTTGAACTCGCCCAATTCCAACAAGAAATGCCCTGGTATTTCTCTTTCAACATATGCTAAATTTCCTTTGCGGTTTTGCAGCTTCAAACATAGTTGTAAACAGCTCGTGGAAGAGCACCATGCAATTCTAGAAGTTATTTCTTATCATTTTCCGAACTTGTTCAAGCCTTCTAGGATGATAGTTTCCACTTGTAATGCACCTCCAAAGACCTTTATCGATACTGTTGAGATAATTCTCCATTTGATTGACCCATTGCTCATAATATTCAGGTATGAGCATCTGAATTTTCCTTGATGATCCAAGAAAATGAGAAACGTTTGACATCGTGTTCATGTTGAATTTCACCATTTTCGTATGGACAAAAGTGATTTTTGATTTCAGAAAAGAGATCTAGCAGAATAATCAATAAAAAATTGATCAAGAAACACTCGATCTAAAAAACTGATTGCAGATACGAAACAAAACAATCAACCAACATAAGTTTTCTTAACCAATAAGGCAGAAAACTTTGAATTGGAAAGAGCGATTCAAAAATATTGAAAATACGATGTCACACCCCCAAACCGGAACGACAGAAATGTCTGGGGGAAGAGGACATCACTGGACAATACCATAACAATTGAATATAAATGAAAGAAGCATCACAACCATTACATTGAATAGTAAATAAGTTAACATTGTACTCAAATATTGGCTACATGACATCAAATGCATGCGACAAAAATGAATGAAATAAGGTGAAAACGTCCCATCCTCCAAAATGCTCTCGTAGTTACATGTTTACTGGTTTCCTGAGAATAAAGTTGATTTTAAAAAGCGTAAAAAATATAGTTGGTGAGCTCATAAACGTTTTTGTATACGAAGGAGTTTGTAACAGTTTCTTGTAAAATGGTAATGTATACTTCCAAAAAATCTAATATTTTCTTTGTAAATGAGTTGTAGTCTTTAAACCATAAGACCAAAAATGTAATAGTATTGTTGTACACAAATATAGTAGGATGCAACTTTATTCGTATATAAAAACGTTTGAAACTATATTTCTTTATGTACAAACTATATTATATTGGAAAAAAACTATGTAATGTAGTTTTATGTAATGTAGTTTTATGTAAATAAAACTATTGAAGATGTGTTGACCTGTAAATCAAAGTTTGTCGATACTCTATGTGAGTTATTGTAGCCATGCTAATGCAATTAGTTGCCTGAACGACGCGCTTCGGACGCCGGAACTGTTATAAAATTTGTCACCCAAAACCTATTGGTCTAACTGTAGCTAACAATTTAGGTGCGAGTTGTTAATCTCGTATAGATCTGTACACAAGCGTCATGCTCTCCCTATAAGAGTCTCTAGTTATAATGCAGGTCGTAGTATGTGTACTCTGGTGGGTACGGTGAAGCCTAATGTCTCAAAAAAATTATTAATCGATTTATGTGAAATGAAAATGTAGTTTTGTGACTCCCAAACTATACAAATTATAGTTTATCATGTTTGTTTGTCTAGAACATTTATATAATCCTTTATATAAATAAATAATAATCACGGTTGTTTAGTTTCATTTGTAAGATCAAACCTCATATCTTGGGTTAAAACCCACAAAATAGTGGAATAAATAGAATGCACTCTTTTTTGTTGGAAAAACTACATTTTTGGTAAAAAGCTTCCAAAAACCTTATAGTTTTTGTAAATCCTAACTTTC